ACAGGGGTTGATTCTTTTTTTTTTTTTTTCCTTTTTGTCTTTTTTCGTGTCCGGCAACGGGATCGCAACCCTCGGTGTTGCTCCCACACCTCGCTCAGCCAGTGAGCGGGAACCGGTCTGTATGTGGGATCTGAACCCTCGGCGGGAGCACCACCGCGCTTCCCAAGCGGCGCACTGTAGCAGTGCACCACCGGGCTGGCCCTAACAGGGGTTGATTCTGTCTCACCCCAAGCCACTTTCAGAGCTTGACATGTGTCCTCTGGAATTTGTGGACCAGTGGCTGAAAAATCCAAAGGCAAGAGAGTGACCCTCAGCCAGATGCCCAAAGAAAGCCGAGTGTGGGGGAGGTAACTGCCCACCCAATGGTGTCAGGGTGTGGGAGGAAGGGGTGTTTCCTCAGGCCAGATGGGAGCCCCAAGCAAGAGAACCAGGATGGGCCATCTCAGACCCTGTCCAACAGGGCCACCTGGAGGGGCAGTGGGACTTCCACAGAAAGGAGGCTGGATGGAGGATGACCTCCCTATGCTTAGGGACTGCAGAAGGAGAAAGCAGCTACCTAGACAGATCCCCTTACCCAGGGCAAGTGACAGTCCATCAGCACTGTTGGAGTTTTCTGAGAACTTCTGAAAGCTCTCCTGAGAAGGGCCAGTTGAAACATATGCCCTGCCCAGAGAGTAGGGAGCACCCTAGTCCAATAACATTTTCCCTTTCTCTCTCTGCATGACCCAACCCTTCTGAGGTCAGAACCCTAATTTGCCGAGCTGGAGGAAGAAAGGAGGGCTGTGCTCTGCTTTCCTGCCACCAGGTGGCACACATGTAGCTGGCAGCATGGGGGGGAAGCAAGTTTACTCCAAGTTCACAGTTTTGATAATTACCTATTCAATCTTCATCTTATAGATGCTAAGGTACCTACTTTTGTTGTAAGTATAACCAAGTTTGTTTTTAACTCATCCACATTATGAGTTCAGGCAAAATCTGTGTCCAAGAGCCCCTAAATCTCACTTTCCCTCAGGCTTCTTGATGCAGTGAACGTAGGCCACCCAGACCCCTCCCCAGCTCCTTGGCCCCAGGGTGGTGTGAGCTCGTGTCCCATTTTTATTGACACATGTGGAGGAGACGCGTTGGATCAGTGGGGACACCCTGGGAGGGACCTGGAATTCCTGCCAGGGAAGGTTCACCTTACACAAGGCTCCCTCCTTCACAAGGGAACTGGGTTTCTGAAACACTCCTGTGTGTCTGGGCCCACCTGCCAGTTGAGGTAGGCAGGCTCCAGGCTGGGTGACCCAGGAGGTGACCCTCACCCCTCACCCCTCACTCCACAGTCTGGATGACTTTTAAAATACCAGTTCGACCCCTTCTCTGCTCAGCCCACCAGTGGCTTGCTTCCCTGCCCACCAGCCCAGCCTTGCATCCCAGGGCTGCCCACCACTCCCTGTGCCCGCTGCGCTTGTGCGTTTCTCCCGTCCTCAGGTGGTAGTGAACCTGCAGAGTGAATGACAGGTGGCCTCCCAGCCCTGATCTGGGGTGGGCGCTCTCCAGGTCGACTTTCCAGGCTCCAGAAGCAGGCTGCAGCAGGCCGGCAAAAGAACCAGTCCCTAAAGAGCCCAGGGTGGCCACCAAGAGCAGAGCCTCAATATGGGGTCCCTAAACACTGTGATCCTCTTACCTCACCAGCAGTGTCCCCAGTCCCTGTCCTTCCACCTGTCTCTCATGCCAGGTTAACTTCTGTCTTGCCGTCTCACCTCCTTTGACTCGCTGCCTCCCTGACCTCTCCTTTCTCATCAGAGAAACAGCCAGGGCTCTGCCAAGTGTGACACCCCACCCACCTGGAACTGCAAGCTGCTTTAGGGAAGAGACTGTCTTAGGCCCCTGCTGTGCCCTCACTGTGGCCAGGAAAGTGCCGGGCACACAAGAGGACCCTCCAAAATATTTGGGAATCGATGAGAGAAGCAAAAATGTATCCTTGCAAATGGCTTGGCTTGGAAATCCAGTGCACTGTGACTTAGCAACAATGCAAGTTGCGATTTAGAAGTAAACAGAGCCAGAAGTACACTCCTCCGTTAGCTTTGAAACATGTGAAGTTGGTGTCCCCCGATTCTTGAGGAAATCCAGCGTTCCCTCTGAACTTGACCTTGCCTAAACAGGGCTGCCATGGAGACTTTATCCACAAAAACAAAAATTTCATCTCATTAACACAAAGTTTAAAATGGTAAGTTAAAAAAAATCCCAAGGACTTCTTTTTACTGGAAAATTCTCTTATGCTAACAAATGTAACCATTGTAAATACAAATAAACAGTAATTTTTACTCTCCTGTCTTATGTGTCATGGGGAAGCCAAGCTAACAACTGATGTGGACACAAGCTGCTGGGAGGAAGAGGCCTGGCCACGTGGCCAGCAGCTGCCCAATTCCTGGAGTCCCTTAGTCCAGAAGGATCCCCAAGATTCTGGGCCTTGTTTGCCTGAGAGGTGGTGAGTGGTGGTATGAGGCCATTGCTCGATATGTTAATGAGTAAGTGACCAAATAATGAATACCCGCAAGGTTAATACTAGCCTGTTTAAAGAATTTCACTTAAAATGTAGGCAATTATGAATATTTAAAATATATATAAACTACTATCTTCATAACTAATAAAATATAAAATAGCATACTATTATCTTCATAATTGCCTACACTTTAAATATATACAAACTATTATCTTCACAACTAATAACAAAACAGTATCCATGTAAATGAGTAGTGTGATACACACACACACATGAGAGGGCACTTAGAAAAGGTCATGGAAAGGTTCACATTATCTTTTAATTCTATTTTTCCATGAACTTTTTGAAGTACCCTCACATATATATAAAAAATAGTAGCATATATATCTTGATATATAGATATCCCCTTTTTCCATTATTGGGCTTGGAAAATAGTGGAAGTATATAAAAATAAAAGTAGATCTTATAATTATTCTGTTTAGAAATAAAAGTAGAGTTCTGGTCAAGATGACGGAAGAGGCAGTCCCCAGCGTCACTCTCTTCCACAAAACAACGAATTTACAAGTATAAAAATGTAACATCAGCCAAGCTGGGGTCACTGGAGTTCAGGTGAAGAGGAGGAGAGACCTACGGAACTCATGAAGGTGGGAGAAACTACGATGAGAGAAAGAAAAACTGCTCTCAGTGTTTCAGGCCGCGGCCACTTTGATGCTGAGCACATGGAGCAGGAGCCAGCAGAAGCCGCAGCTGTGCCTTTTAGATGGAGTTCCTTGGAGGCGGCAGGGGAGAAGAGGGCCTTGGTGGCTCCCAGGACAGCAAGACCACTAATAGGGTGCCCGTGGACCCACACAGGAGCAAGGAGCCAGAACAGCTGAAAAAGGGGAGCCATTCAGAGGCTGGTGAGTCATCGCAAGGGATCGGCACAAGGTCCGTCCCATGGGAAGTGTTTGGAGCACGGGCAGTGGGGCAGACGGGCCCACTGGGAGAAAACTGGGACACAGCAAGGACAGCTCATCTGCCCCCCAATCAGAGCGGGACCACTCGGAGGAGACTGGTTGGGAATGCAGAATCGCATGAGTATAGTTTGATGAAAAGACTCAGGCCCAGATCAGAGTTTCTACACAACCCAGGTGCACCAGGTCTCTGGAGAGCCCAAAGTACCTATAAGGTCAACCATTAAACCCTGAGCTGCACAAAAAGCCTTCCCTAGGGAAACAGCAGCAAAGCAGCAATTTAGCTCAACCACAGAGCTCAAGTACTGGTTCCCACAGGAAGTTCCCCCATGTTAGAAGTAAGCAAAGGACAAAAAATTCGTTCTGGCCCAGGCACACCAACAATGTCTTGGGGCCCACCAGGGGTCATGAGGCATGGAGCCAGGGGCAGGACCCCTGCCTGCAACCACTCACATAACCAGCACCTTGGGGCCATACCCAGGAACCCCAGGATTGAAGCTGGGACCGGACCCCCACTCCCACATCCAGGCACACCACCAATGCCTTGGGGCCTGCCCAGGGACCCCAGGCTAGCAGCTGGGGACCGGATCCCCCTCCTACACACAGGCACACCATGACAGTGCCTCAGGGCCCCACCCAGGAGCCTGAGGCATGGAGAAGGGGACTGGACCCCCCTCCCGCAACCAGGCACACCTCACCAGTGCTTCAGGTCCCACACGGGGACCCAGGGTATGCAGCCGGGGATCAGCCACTCTCCACAACCAGGCACACCGCCAGTGCCAAGGAGCATGCCAAAGTCATCTCCTCCACGTGGGTGGGCCACCACAGCCACCACGATGACCATGGCTGCTGTGAAGTCAGTTAGATGCCACAACCACCATGTAGATGGTCCGCCAGCCACTGGAGTGCGTTGACACAGAAGAGTCACCGGCAGAGGTAAAGAAAGGAGGAGGATGTCTCTCTCCACACAGCCCATTTCAGAGTGATGGAAGAGACATCTGCTCTATGACTGTATTCAGGGACCTGATCATGCCTCTCAGCATTGGACAGATCATTTGGGCAGCAAATCAACAGAGTAACCATTATTCTTTCAGGAGAGAAGAAATCTAGGGTGATTAGAGGGGGGATGGGGGAGGAAAAAGGGGATGGGAGGGATTGGACAAGGGGCATAAAGAATAATTACAATTTGTAACAATATATATGCTAGTAATATTGAATTGATCCACATATCTCAATGTTGAACCCCCAAATATGTATAATTTTGATTCAGTAAAAATTTTTTTTAAAAAAGTAGATCTTACTGACTTATAAGTCAATAATGATCCCTCACCCTTCCCAGATCTCATTATTCCCTCAATTATTAATTGAAAAATGGTTGTTTTTGCCAGTATTTACATGACCAAGTACACTAGCAACTGGGTATGGTAATGAAGTCAACTTCTTTATAGTTACTTAATCTGATGAGCACTTCCACACCACATGCAAACTACAGTTCCATTTGCGAATTTCCCGGGAGAGTAAAAAGTTCTGTATATGAAACAGAATATAGGGTCAATCGTATCTAATTTTAAATATTTTAATTTATATACTTTTATGAATATAGGTCCATAAGAAATCCACTTTTCAGATTTTATTTCATTACAGAATATATTTGATAAGGAGACATACAAACAGATGCATCTTTAATGCACGTTGTTCAGTGGCGCCCTGCACTTCTGCAGCAGGCTGGAGATGCCATAAAAAAGGTTTCCACTGTCGCACTTAGTCAGCCACTCTAAACAACCAGTGCTGTAGAGTTCAGATAATCCAATTCATTTACTTGCCTAGAAGTGAAAATCTCAACATTTGTTTCAAAGTCTGTTTATTACTCTTCTATTTAAAAATCCGAGATACATTCTCCAATGTAAACAATAAATTTCAATCTGTCACACTATGGATAAGGCCTTCTGGACAAATTTATGCCACCTAAGTTTTACTCATAAGAGCACAATCTTATTTCATACGGTATCGTGAGCCATCCATGCACAAAAGACAGGAGAAGAAGCTGCCCTTAGTACCTGGTGGACCTTTCGAGACTTTTCCCCTCCGCAGGTTTATGGTACACTTAAGAGATATCTTTTTGACTTGTCTACTTGGTCATAAAATACAAATGTACAATGTCCATAAGCATAAAACAGTAAAGCCTAGCCTTACATATTTATTATGAATTGCTAAAATCCTATACAAGTACAATGCCATATCATGCCAATTAATATACAGAGGAAGGTGGCTAATGTCTCACCATTCATCAGGGCACGTGGACAGGGGACAGAGGGGACCAATTCACGGAGGTGTTAAGAGGCTGACTGCATTTCATTAGGCAGGACCGTCTCACTGAAACTCTGAAACGCTTGTATAACCTGCTGAAATATTTAAGTTAATTTGGAGTAGAATCTGCTCAACACAAAAAGAATACACCCTTTTCTCACCAGCCTCCCAAAGGGAGAATTGAATGAAACCTTAGAAAATGTAACCAAATAAAGCCTCATATTTGTATTTCCTGACCAGCTGTGCAAATCACTATCCACTCTCTTCTCAAGCAATTTATCCTTTGAGGACCCACTACTGGAAAGCGATCATTCAGTACCTCATTATTATAAATATTTGACTTAGCAAGCTAGATGGCGACATAGTAAAGACTATATACAATATTTTAAAAGGCATCCTGTGAGCATTTTGGAAGAGTTCATAGAAAAGTCACTACGGGTACACCAGGTACTTCTGTTGTCACCATAAGGTCAACTCTGGAGCCTCTCTCATATTCAGTGTGCACATTTCACACATCGCACAACGAAAGTGGGAACGGAACGGGGTCTCTGACGGGACACTTGCTGACTCACTAAGCTAAGGTGACCGGCAGAGGGCATAGTTTCCTGAGGTTTGTAAGAATTTCTTAAACAAAACAGAAATCACAGTGACCGAGCGTGATGCGAGTCTGTCTTCCCGTGCATGTTCTGCTTCTCGCAGTCCTTGCCGGGGACTAAATGACCCGCCACTGCATGATGCTCGTGTCTTTCCCGCCTGTGGAGATGAGGTGGCTGTCTTCACAGAGGAAATCGACGTTGGTGACATGGCTGCTGTGCCCGCCATATATGTGGCTTGGAGCCTGGAAAAGAATGACACGGGGGAAAGCTTACTACAAGGCAAACTACTTGGAATTGGAAAGTGCTAGAATTCTAGATTCATTCCTTAACTCCTCAGCTCTCCCCTTCACTCAGCAGCTCTCATCGTACATCTGTTCTGTGCACAGGACACAGGGAGGACACAGAAGCAAACCCCACAGAGTCCCTGTGGTCTCGTGTGGGGACAGATACGAGCAAATGACTGTCCTTTGCTGAGATACATTCAATACCAGATGGCTGCACCATGCATGAGGTCGGCCCAAAGGCGGGAGGACCAGACGCTGGGGCTGAGGGTCAGGGGTCTCCTCAGTGAAGGAGGGTCAGGCTCAGCCCGGGCGGGCTGGGATAGAGGGAGCCATGGGGAAGGGAGAGGAGTGAGGCCCACGAGGCTACGGTGGCAGATGGCCTGATCCAAAGGGCTGTGGATGTCGTGCGAGGGTTTCCCGGGGCAGTGGAGCCCCGGGAGTGCTCAGAGCAGCAGAGAGCAGCCTGTGTGCACCTCCTGGCTGCCAGCATCCACCCACAGCCCAGTTCTACTCTGCTTTCAAATCAGGGCAGGCCACAGGGGCGTGCCCTGTGAGAGATTGGTGAAAAAACATGTCCGGTACCCTAAACTGGGAGCAGGGATAGGAGAAGAGGTGCACTTTGCCGAAGTCGTCGCCCGTCGACAGGAGCTTCTTCTCGTGGGCCCGACAGACAGCGTTGATGTCGGTTCCGTCTGAGCCTTCTGGCCACACTCCTGAAACACAGACCACAAATAGCACTGCAACCACCAGAGACACAGGCCACACCGCGCAGGAACTGGCCATGGAGCTGTCATGAAAATAAAATGGCCTCAAGTCCAGGCTTCGGAAACAAGGGCCCGAAGGATGCTAGTTGCAGCCCCAGCCTCCCCGTGCTTCCAGCATTATCTCACTCCCCGCGCGTCTTGGGACACCGTCCAGCGCGAAGCCCTGCTCCACTGCATGTGGCAGCGAGGCAAGCGCCTGACTGCCCACCCCTTTCAGGGTCCTTCTTTTTATTTTAAATTTGTTTATTATTATTATTATTATTATTAGCTTTTTACATTCTAACATGTTGTTGCAGAGCAGTGGGAAGGGGTGGGGGAAGGGGGGATAGGGAAATGCAGGTGGGGGTGGGGGGCTGGGCTGGCCCCCCGCCTCTGGCTTGGGAGCCTGGGGATTTCTGGCAGCTGCACAGTTGGTTGTCAGTTGTTGCTGGGGCGTGGCTGAGGCTCTTGGCCCCCACCCCCAACCCCCAGCTTGGGGTTCAAGGGGCTTCTGGCGGCAGCAGTGAGGTGGTCGCAGGATGCTGATGTGGGGGGGGGACACGTGGCTCAGGGCCCTTCTTGATGCTACGGCAGAGAGAGTACCAGAAACCCTGCTTCTGAACATGGTGCCTTTCCTTTCTCCCCAAAGCATCTGATGGGAACCTGACTAGTCCTCAGGCCTGCCGTTTCCTAAACCTTTTTTAAAAAAAAATAAATAAATAACTCTTTACATGTGAGAGTCTCTCTAAAGGACTTTGTAACCCTGGTCTATGTGTACCTTTCAGATGCTTGTCGGTGTGAGCTCTTTGTGGCCATTCCCTGCGTGGTGGCAGCTACCTTCCATTACTGGCTGCAGTGTCGCTTGCTGTGGGCTCCGTAACCTGTGCTCAGGTGGGCCTGGAGCACAGTTGGGGATGTGGGGCGCTGTTTCCTGACCATTCCTCTGGGAAACCCTTTTGGTCTCAATAACTTTGGATGAGAGAGCTGGATAACAACAGTTTCTCAACTGGCAGTTCTGGAGTAGACCCAGGGGCTCCTAGCATTTAGCACCAGAAAATAGTAAAATGCCAGCTCTAAGGAGATCTGTGAATTCTTACCAACTTAATGACTTGTGGTCTTACATAAAAAGATTATAAATACTGCCTTTTCTTTTTTATTCTACTACATAGTGTTAATTTAGGTTATTTATGAATATATTTCTTTCTTTTTTTTTTTTGTCCTTTTTGAGACCGGCCGTACTGCGCTTAGCCAGTGAGCGCACCGGTCATCCCTATATAGGATCCGAACCCGCAGCGGGAGCGCTGCTGCACTCCCAGTGCCGCACTCTCCCGAGTGCACCACAGGCTCGGCCCATGAATATATTTCTAAAGTGAAACTTGAAGGATGTGAAACATTTAGTGTAGGGACCAAAAAAATATAATCATCCTAACAAATGATTAATAAATTGATTGAGTGCCTTCTGGTCCATCTAGGTAAATCTGGCATAACTTGATGTTAAAAAATTCTGGAGAACTGTCTCAAGACCCATTTTGTGCAATGGAAAAGGATTAAAAACCCATCTCTCTAGCTCTTCTTGACTGGCCATAACCTGGCAAGCTCTGGCCCTGCCCTGGGGAGCTGCAGGGAGTGTGTCTTATGGGGTCACACTGCAGCTGAGTAGACTGATAAGACTGGTGACCATGAGATCTCATAGGTGTTAGAGAAATATTCTAAAAGTAGATATGTCTTGTGTTTGAATCCAGTGAAATCTGCAGAAAACTCACCAAACACATGGAATCCCAAAGTGCAGGTATAGGTAGCCCATTCGATGTCTCTTGTAGTTTCCACACTTACAACCTGCTTACAAGCAGAGGGAACCCCTGGAAAAAGCAAACACAATCTGGTGATGTCTAAGCCAAGGTCCCCATTGCTCCCCTGAGCAAGGCTGAGCCCGCAGAGCTCTCCCAGGAGAGGGACACTCTCCTCTTCTGGGCCATGGGAACCATGTGCACAGCTGTCAGCCCCAGCCAGGGCACCGCCTCCGCTTTGCTTTCTTCCCGTTTCTTCTCTGAGTGTGTTTCCACAGACTGGCTTCTCTTGTCTTTGACCATCCTCTGGTTCCTAGGCCTCCAGTTGCTCTGTACCCACTGGGGCCCTTGAACACAGCTCTGCCCTTGCTGCCGGGCTCCCCAGCCCTCCCCCAATATATCCCCTGCCCCTCACCCCCCAGTCCCTGCAGTTCTGAGTTGGGAATGGAAGGTTATGGAAACAGCCACACCAAGTGCCTACAGCCTCCCAGGTGCCTTGTATGTTCCCCACATGAGCTCTCACTAGTGGAGTATGAGACCATGTCTGAGAAGATTCTAGACCCTGGGACTATCCCTGAGAGCCATCACCCTGCTTCTGCGCCTGGGCCAGGCAGGACCTGGGGAGGGGGGAGAGAGAAGGCCACGCGGCCGCCTTCCCCTGGAGGGAGCTCACTCCTGGCACATGCTTTTCCTCCTTCCCTGCCCACCAGCAGCCCTGCCTGTCCCAGGCTTCTCAGCAAGCAGGTGACACGCCCAAGTAGGTGTGGCTTCCTCCCCACCACTGGCTCCTGATGCCTGCGGCCTGGCATCCGATCTCTGATTTCCTTATCTGTAAAATGGGGATAAGCCAGAAGGTGCTGTGGATCATATGAGAAAGTGTAGGTGAAGAGCACTGCGTTTTCTAGTAACTTCCAGCTGGGTGGAGACCAGGTCTTTCTCTTGCCCCAGGACCCCCTTGCTTAGCCCAGAGCTTGGACGTGGCAGGTGCTTGGTGTGAGTTTGGGGAATCAGTGCATGGCATGTGGCACATGCTCAGTGAGTGCCAGCTGTCATCATCTTCCCATTCCCAGGTCCTGCCTGGCCCAGAGACAGGCTGGGGAGGGGTTGGGAGAGGAGGACGAGGGGTCCCAGGGGCTGTTTTCCACAAGCTTGAAGGTCTCTGCCCACTCAGGGTGACACCTTTACAAGGCTCCTCTCCTGCCACATCTTCCAGCCTCTGGCCTCTCCCTGCAGGGCTTGGCCTCCTCCTCGGGGCAGGCCCTGCCTCTTCCCCTCCACAGGGGCCCACGATCAGCCTGAACCCGAGGCAGCTCAGCGCCAGGCAGGACCCAAGAGGCTGTGCAGCCCAGCGGCTCTGTTGTACAGGGAGGGAACGTTTGATGTCAGCTAACCGCCAAACAACTCCTAGGGTGTCACTCACAGTAAAGGATTTCATAGTCTCCAGAATTTGACACGAGGAATTGGGAGTTTACGGACCAGTCCAGGTGAGTAATGAAGCTGGAATGACCCTGGGAGAGAGAAACATTGTATGAGTTTCACATGTCTTATTTATGAGGCGACTTACACTGTACTGATGGAATTAAGTGCCTTCGTGCACAGTCATGACACTTACCGAGCACTTGCCCACTCGCGCGTACTTCCTGCCGTTGTCACTGACTCCGTAGATATAGATACAGTTGTCATGAGAGCCTATTGCTAAGAAATTCCCATCTATAAAAATATGACAAATTACAGTTCAGATGTTAAAAGTAAACACTGTGTTCATTACAAAGGATAATGCTAGTTGTCCCTATAGATTTAAACAAAACAGCCAGCTTAATGAATTATTTCGAAGAGAAAAATTTGCTTTTGAATGAATCCAAACCACTCCCAAAGCTATCTTTTGAAAAATACATACCTGACCAGATTATAACATATGTAAAGACTTTTAAAATCTTTTTTATAAATTCTTTTTATAAAATTTTATAAAGTCTCATAAAACCCTTCCCTGGTCATACCTGTCCCCACCTCTGCAGGTGGAGACTTAATTCCTCAGTGAGGCCACAAGGCCCTCCAGAAGGTGGCCCTTCCAGCCACGCCGCCCATCACCGAGCATAAAGGCTCTCCCGTGCCTCTGCAGCCACTGTCCCTCTGCTGGGAGGGCCCTTCCACCTCTCTTCCAAGGGGCCATCACCTAGTATCTTCCTCACCCAGACTTCCACCTCCAGGACAGCCAGGAATCTGGCTGTGATGCTTGCGCCCAAGCACGGGGAGGGGGTGCATTGTACCAAAAACCGAGCCCATGCACGAAGCCGGCAAATGAACGTGCTGCTAAAGGAGGAAGACGTAGGACATGCTGGAAACAGCCTGGGAAAAGGTCAGACTTTACCGAGCCAGGAAGCAGAAAGGACAGGGAACAAGGTCGGTCCCAGAATGAGATGCAGAGCAGAGGGGTCTGCACACCCGGCTGGGGCTGCAGACAAGTCCTTACTCTCCCTGAGCGTCATTCCTCCACCGAGAGAAGGTGGCCAGCAGGGCCTTCGCCTAGCAGTCAAGAGGATTCACTTGGACGATGTTTGTAAAGTACCTCGCGGTCACGGGCGCATAATAAAGCTTCTTAAGGGTTTCCCTCCCCACTGATTTTCCTTCTTCTGTGGTGGGAATCCTACAGGAAAGAGCGTGGCCTGGCACCATCAGGAAATGGTATTTTAGGAAGTCTTGGCATAGGCCAGGTCAAAATAGGCGTGTTGGCAAGGTTGAGGCAGCCTGTACAAATCAGGCATACTGATAGAATGGGGCAAATGAATTTTTTGCTGGGGAAAAAAAAAGGACTCCTGAAGGTGGGTACTGGTCATCATTTGCAGCTGACGGTTCTAGAGAAGGCCGGGCTCTGCACGGGAACCTCTGTCCCTACACTCGGCTCCTCCAACCTGTCACACCCTGGCAACAGCAATGAAGATGACCATAGTCACTAAATGCTACTAATCAATAGCCGATGTGCCAGGAAGACAGCGGAGCATGTTCATGAGAATGTGGGCGTTCGATCAGAAAAACCTGGGTTCAAATCCTAGCTGTTTTACCTACATTCATTAATAAATACATAAAAACCAACCAGTTTTGGTCACTACGCTAATCAGAGGCCAGACGAAACCTAGGAATGGCCTATTTCTCAGGTCCTACAAAGCACTTTTTCCCCCTGTAATCAGCTCTCCTCTCCCCTGATAAATGCCTCATTCCCCAGCTCTCAGAGACTATGAAATTCCTACACTCACCCCACTGAAATAAGCTGGCATTTGGTCCAAAATGAAAACCAGCTGGAGACCCCACAAAGAGAAGAGAGCAAGAATCCAGTCACTCAGGAGGAGGACAAAATTATAGCTATTTTTTATTGATTACATACTCTGACCAGGTTTGGAGCTGGGGACTTTCACATAGATCGTACTCAAGTCAAATAGCACCTAAGCAGAGGGTACAATGAGTCTCGCTCTGCAGATGAGGAACCTGAGGCTCAGGAACTTGCCTAAGGTGACACAGCCAGGTGAGTGGTATAAGAGGGAAGTCCGCACGCTTGGCTTGTAGGGCTCGGAATGACGAGTGGGAGCAGGTGGCAGAAAAGCACAGGTCTTGGGTGCAGCCGCACAGCTACCGAGCATCCTCCCTCCCTGTCACACTGGGCATTCTGCTCTGGGCTCAGAGCTGCTGTATCTGCACAGGAAATAGCACACAGCGTGGGGACACTATGTGGCAGGGGAAAGAGGCTGGTGGCGTCACACTGGGCATTCTGCTCTGGGCTCAGAGCTGCTGTATCTGCACAGGAAATAGCACACAGTGTGGGGACACTATGTGGCAGGGGAAAGAGGCTGGTGGCGCAGCAGGGGCTGGATCACAGCAGGTCTCCTATGCTGGCAGATGAGGTGGATTTGATCCCGGAAGCGACATAGTATATACCAGATTCTGACTTATTCTAGCAAAAGCAGAAAAAAACCCACATCTCAAACAATGACATGGATAAGATGAACGGACAGAGGAATACGCCTGCATGACCACTGCACCTAGTCCCTCTGATCTTCTCTCTTTCATCTTCACATTGAGATGTTTATCCTAGTTTTAATAGGCTGAAACTGGAACAGGCAGGCTCAGCATTTGCAGTTGGACTTAATGAACAGGAAACTATTTCCCTTCTATTTTTGTTATTCTTTTTTTAAAAAAGTACAATTTTAATTCAATCAAAACTCTATTTTTTCCAATCACAAAGTGCTGTTTAAGATTCCTGATATGCATGTTAAGTACAAGAACCATCAGTACTACACTGCTATATTTAATGAATCCTGTGAGGGGCTGGCATTTTGCCAATCACCAGAGTTGACAGTGGTTTCAATAAAAATTCATACAACATTAGCTAATTGGCATAGGACCATCTTGTGTAAAGTATTTTATAAATGAACAGTAATTAATAAAATGTGACCGGAATGGATATTTGATGGTCCATGGAAATTCTCTAGGTTTGCTGTTCTTGGAGCACCAAAGAATCCCCCTCAACCTCTCTCTCTGGGTGATTCCAACACACACCCAAGGACTCTGTTCACTGTCTGTTGCAGGCAGGCACCTGTAATTCCAGGACTATCTTTCTGAACCTCCCTCTCCAACCACAGGTGAGATGTAGATTAGGAACTGAGAGCTGGAACTCCCTCTAGTGCTTACAGAATTGAGAAATTATCTGGAAGATTTAGTTCTCAGTCCTGCTGGTTACGTTTTGACTATACGGTTTAACTTTGAGTAACTTCCCAGCCCCTGTATACCAAGCACACCTAACATCAACCTGAGAGAGGACTTAGAAGTGGTCCCCAACTCCTCTGAAGCACAATTCTCTAAAACCCTAGTCTGTGGTGATGGGTCGGTGTTGGCCTGTGTCACTGAGTGCAAAGGCAGCATTTGCCCATGGTCGGGCGGCCTGCAGCTGGGGGCTCCTCGGTCTTTCCCAGCATCCTGGAGGACTGGCTCCACCTGTAAAGCTCAAGAACCATTAGCTTTTCTTCTAGCAGTTAGCACAACATCCAAATTTTTCCTGAGACTGAGGGAAGGAGAAAAATCCCTCATAATTTAATGATGGTTTTCCTTCTCAGTATACCACAGCTTAGGGAACTACCTGGGAGATTGGTCACAAGATCTACACTGGGATTTTGGCAGCAGGTTCTTGGAATTCCATGTCAATGGTATCCTGTGTTTGGGCATCTAATGATTTCTCTCTCTTTCCTTTTTTTATCTAAAGTTTGTAAATACTTGACTCCAAAGAGGAGCCAGTAATCTACGATGGTGTAACCTACGTGCTGGAAAAATCTTGTGTGCAGCCAGCAAACTCATACTGCTGATTGCACTCTGTTCTGCATTATAGCCAGGTGCACTGTAGTTAGTTCTGTCCACATTCATGCATGCAACTGATATTCATTACTGTGTAGTATGCTAGGAGCTGAGCAAATAATGCTGAACAAAATAGGGTCCCTACCATACGGGACACTGGGCCATCCCCAAGGGTCTGAGCACACCATCTGGGTGCTGCTCTGGGGCCATCGCTGCCGCCACTACTGCCATCTCCACCCGTGACATCTGCACAATGCTCTTCTCTTCAGAGCACACATTCACACCTCTTTCAGATGAGTCTCATAATAGCTTGCTGTCTGACTTGACAAGGTCACTTAGCTAGTGAAGAGAGGACACTGGATCCAAACGCAGTTGCCCAGGAGTTGGCCCGGGGCTTTCACCTCTGCCCTACACAGCCTTCGGTCAATGCCTCAGATGCTCCAGAGGCAGAGTTACGGGTAGAAACAGCTCTCTGGTCTCCAGGGAATGGTCATTAGTATAACTGACAAGAAATGGAAACATACTTCTCAAAGGACCCTGCTCATGTTAGCAGGAGCTGATAGATATCTGAGGGCTTTCTAAGAAAACAGGCTGTAGAGGAGGCCTGCTTGCACTTAGCAGAGATTCAGAATAACTAAGAAAAGGATGAGAAACACATAAGAGGATAAAGAATATTGGCTATAAATAACAGAAAGAAATGTGATACTTAAGAGGTCATGAACAAAAGGCTCCCAAGGTGGCTGGGCAGTTGTCTTTTTAGGATAAGATCTTATGAACTTTGCTCATGCATAAAGAAAAATCACCTGCAAGGGGTGTTCTTTCTATAAGGTTCTTTAGAGAGATTGAGAACACGGTCCCATCATGAGTTACAGATGACACTGTCAATTGGCTTATAACATAGAAGGTTGCTATGGATGAGTAGTGCTCAGTCTTGGCCAAGCATTTCCATGGGCCAAAACTGCTATGTCCAAGACTGTTAACACAGACAAATGTCCTGCATATCATAGAAAAACAGTATTTCCTAAAACACAATCATAACACAATGAAAAGGCTTAGAAATAATCACCCAGTAGCAATGAGCATGCCTAGCTCCATATGTGATCTCCAAGCTGCATTTCAGACACGAAAGGAACTAGAGGCACCTAGTTAACATAGTTGTGAGGCAAGAAATGTACACGATGATCCTGGAACAACTTGTTATGCCAGAGAACGAGTATCAAAGATCATAAGTATGTCAAAGGGCCTCAGGGGTCAATCTGAAGTGGCTTCCACTTGCCAACGATGGATAAATTATTCCATCTATTATAACTATAATAGATAGAAACATAGTGAATATACTGAAATTCATCACGGCACCAAAACTACCACCAGCA